GGGCGGGAGCGGGGCCGGGGACCCGGCGGCGGCGCGGCCGCCGCTGCTGCTCCTGTCCCCGCTGGCCAGCTGGGCGTCCTCCCGCACGCCGCAGGGGACCGTGACCGCCCAAGCCCTGGCTGCCTCTGCGTCGGCTCGGAGACCTGCCTTCCCCACCGGGGGCTTTGCTGTGGCTCACGGGCTCCCGCCCTGCCACCCCAAGTGACCGCGGCTCGCGACCTAGCGCTCCGGTACGCCCACCTGCCGCGGAGGGGGCTGCCCCCTGCTGAGCGCGCACGTCCGTCCCCGGCTCCCGGCTCCTCAGGTCCCCGCCCCAGGCGGACGTCCCCGTCCCAACCTTCCCGCCCGCCCCCTCTAGGGGGCTCTGCTCCCACCGGTCCAACCTCCCAGTTATCTGCGGCCCTTGACTTCCCGCCCGCGCCCTCTCGGGGACACTGCGCCTCCTCAGGTGCGCCCTTCCAAACTCCCTACCCGTTCGCTCCGTGTCCCCACCTCACACCATATAACCCCTCTCCATCTTCCTTGGGTCCTTGCCCCTTGACCTAGTGCCCCTGTCTCTGTCTTCCCACCTGACCCCTGGTGGCCGTCTGTTCCCACCGACGACGCCCATCCAGCCTCCGCTCCTCCAGGTCCCTCACCCAGGCGTCCCGCCCACCCTACCTCGTCCTCGGGACCCCTCTCGGGCCTGACGTCCTCGCCCCCGCCCCCATGGTCCCGGAACCCGGCCCTGCCAACAACAGCACCCCGAACTGGGGGTCGGGGCCGCCGTCAGAGCCGGCGGGCAGCGGCTGGGTGGCGGCCGCGCTGTGCGTGGTCATCGCGCTGACGGCGACGGCCAACGCGCTGCTGATCGCGCTCATCTGCACGCAGCCCGCGCTGCGCAACACGTCCAACTTCTTCCTGGTGTCGCTCTTCGCATCGGACCTGATGGTGGGGCTGGTGGTGATGCCGCCCGCCATGCTGAACGCGCTGTACGGGCGCTGGGTGCTGGCGCGCGGCCTCTGCCTGCTCTGGGCCGCCTTCGACGTGATGTGCTGCAGCGCCTCCATCCTCAACCTCTGCCTCATCAGCCTGGACCGCTACCTGCTCATCCTCTCGCCGCTGAGCTACAAGCTGCGCATGACGCCCCCGCGCGCCCTGGGGCTTGTCCTGGGCGCCTGGAGCCTGGCCGCCCTCGCTTCCTTCCTGCCCCTGCTGCTGGGCTGGCACCAGCTGGGCCGCGTGCGGGCCCCTGCCCCGGGCCAGTGCCGCCTGCTGGCCAGCCTGCCGTTCGTCCTCGTGGCGTCGGGCCTCACTTTCTTCCTGCCCTCGGGCGCCATCTGCTACACCTACAGCAGGATCCTGCTGGCCGCCCGCAAGCAGGCCGTGCAGGTGGCCTCCCTCACCACCGCCACGGCGGGCCAGGCCCTGGAGACGCTGCAGGTACCCGGGGCGCGCAGGGAGACCCGGGCTCGTGGGATGGAGAGGAATGAGCAGCCGTTGGGGGCCCACGCGGCATCCATCACTTAATATATACACTTGCTGGTGACCTCCAAGGGGCCATTTCCAACACACATGACTCTTCTGCATTCTAGACTCAGTGCTAACTGTCCACAGGACAGCTGCGTCAGCATGCGGGGCAGGCTTCCAGAAGGTAGCATGTGCTGAGGGAATTCAGGGTGTCCCCACCCTCCCTGTCGTTCCCGTCATGGCAAATGGCACCATCACAGCAGTACCCCACAGAAACTCAGGAATAATTTTTCTCCCTCACGCTCATGGGGTTCATTATCAAGGCCTGTTGGTGCTGTCCTCCTGAACACGTACCACCCCAAGGCCACCCCCCTCAACCAGGCCCCCGTTGCTTCTTTCCTGGAAGCCCTCGATAGTCTCCTACTGGCTTCCCCTGCTTCCTCTTCAGACTCACTCCTGTCTACTCTCTGCCCAGGAGCCAGAGCACTTGACAAAACAGAAGTGAGCCCGTCACTCTTAAGATAAAAGAAGAGACCCATGTTGGGATCTGGTCTGGGAATGTGGTCCTGCCAACCTCTCCAGCTTCGCCTCCTCCCCTTGCCCTCTCTCCTTGTGCACCAGCCCTTCTGATGTTTCTGGAAGGCACCAGACTGCAGTGTCCAGGACTTGGCATCGCTGTTCCCTCTGCCTGGACAGCTCTTCCCCTGGGGCTGCCCTGTCTGACTCCCTTTTCAGCTCACAGGTCACCTCTTCCCAGAGTCTGTCCCTGACCACCCTGTCTGCAGACCCATCGGTGCTCCCTCACCCTGTTATTTCTCCCAACTGTAGGTTTATATGTTGACTTGTTCATTTTGTCTCTCCCCCACGAGAGTGTAAGCTGGGCACATCTGGGGCGGTTTTGATTCCCACTGTACATCCTAGGTGCTTACTAATGACTTGTGAGTGCTAAGGCCCTGCAAGGTCTGGAGTGCGGTGGCTGTTCTTGTCACTCAGGCCATATGGCACCAGAGTCTTACTGTCTATTGTCCTAAACCCCCAAGGAACGGGAGTTTAGGTTGATGAGGCCTGAGGCCCAGAGAATTAGGTCACAGGCCCCGAGAAAGGTCCTGATGGGGCTCTCCAGTCTTGATGTAGCCCCAGGCGGAGGAGGCTCCTGCAGGATGGGGGGTACTTGGGGGCTTGGGTGGATGGGGGCTGAAAGGCGGGCCCTCCGAGCAGCTTGCCTGCCCCATCAACCAGGGGAAAAGGCCTTGGGTGGACAGGAGGTCCAGGCTCCAGTCTTCCTCCCTCCGTCTGTGCTCACTGGAGAACGTTCCTGAATCACAACAGGTGGCTGTGACCCTGACTCTGTTCTCCAGCAGTAGGAAGGCTGCCCTAGGCCATCCACACTCTCTCCCTGGGCTCTTGTAAAGGAGCGTTTCCCAAACTCGAGGCATCTGGAACCACCTTGGGCCATCCGCCTTCTTTCCAGCCACCCACACGCCTCAGGCGGCTTCCTTCTCCTGTAGTTTGCATTTTTCTCTCCATCACCTCACTTATCTTTTTACTTCCATGCATTTGTTTCGAAAGGAAACTTCTTATCTCTTCTGGAAATGGAAACTCGGGTCCCTTTGCCATAAACAGAAGGCGGTCCCAAAGACAGCGGCAGTGCGTGGTGGGAACCCCAGCAGGGTTGCTGAAGCCCGGAGGGGAGCTCCAAGTGGTCCAGCCCCAGGCTCGCTTCCTCTTTGGTGCTAGGGGGTGTTAAACACAGCAGCATCAACACTCACTTCCTCTTGACACAACCGGAAAAGGAGCCGGAAGAGTGCTGGAAAAGGCTCGTGTTCTCACTCTGTCATTTAGTTCTGTTAGGGGTCATCCTCCTCTTCCGCGCTTTGGGGAGCTCCGCGCCAGTGACTAAGGACGTGAGGAGGTGGCTGCTCTTGGTGAGGCTGGGGTGGGACGGGTCTGGATTTTCTGTGCCAGTGTCACCTGTGACACACTTTTCTGTCCCTGAGGCTAATTGGGGGGTGCCAGGATTGAACCTGAGACTGTGGCCTGGAGCCCCCGGGGTGCTGACCGCGGCAGTCCCACGGTTTCTCAGTGCCCACTGCGTGCCAGCACCTGGCCAAGCTCGTGCCCCAAACACCCACCCGGGCAAGGACTACCATCATCCCTGTTGGACAGATGGGGAGCCTGGGGTTCCGAGAGAGGGGAGGTGTCGGAACCCAACACTTCCCAAACCACTCAGCAACTAAGCCAGCCTCCTGCCTGCCTGTTTTCCTTATTCTCTGCACAACTGCCTGCGTTTTGGGAATCTGTTTCTGGGACATAGCCTCTACTCCATCTTCTTGGGTCACGACCCCCTTTCCTCCCACCCTAGCTGGCCGGCCCCTGAGACTAGGCTTCCAGCCGGGCACTTGAGGCTCCCAGTACCTGGACCTAAAGGAATTGATGAGAATGAACAAAACTTGGGGTGCATTGGACCCCTTTCTTCCTGTCTTCAGCCCTACTTAGCCCTGAGCTCCCTTCCCCAATCCAGCCGCTAGCTTCTCCACGGAGGGCGGGGGACCAGAGGGGGACATGGGTTTCTGAAGCCCCAGCTCCTCTGGGTTTGAGGACGTGGTAACTGAGCAGGCTTGAGTATTTTAATCTCTCCTCCCACCCCCCACATCTGCTAGGTATGTGAATAGGCTTTTCAGAAGCCACCGGCCAGCTCAGTGGTCTCAGCCAGGCTTTCCCAACCCCGCGGCTGTGAGGTAGGGGTCTCACTTACAGCTGAGGCAGAGACTGGGCTGGGGATGAAGAGCAGGGCATGGGGAGAGTGGTTTCAGAGTGCGTGAGATGCCGCCAGCGTAGGGGAGAGAGGGAGAGAGAGACAGAGTGATCTGTGCCAGGGTGGGATGGTGCTCATCTTCGGGAGGGACCCGTGTGGGCTCAGGGATGGAGAGCAGCAGGGGAGAAGAAGGTCTGCTGGGGCGTTTGCCTCCCCAGCCTCTTTGTCTCTGTGTCAGGACCTGTGCCTTTGGTCTGGAGCCCTTGCCCCTCTGTCTTCCTCCGCACCTCCTCTTCCTCCCCTTCTCCCACCCCTCTTTCCTCTGGGGCCATCTCGCCCCCTTCTCTGCCTTCTACACCCTCCCATCTGCCTCTCCCCCTTCTCTCCCATCAGTTTCTCCCCCTCTCCTCCTCCACCAGCCTGTTCCACCCTCCCTCACCCGACTCTGCATCACTTTGTCTTAGCGATCTGTCTTCCCTTCCATCGCTGCAGAGGAGGAGGCTGTGATCACAGAAATATCTTGGAGGAGGAGGAGGGGGCTGAGCTGGGAGAGGCTGACAGAGGAGCAGCGCCGAGAGCATGGCAGCCTTGGCTGCTGCTGGGAACAAGGTGGCCCGGAGCGGCCACAACTGGCTGCAGGAGCTTGTGGACCCGGCTGGACAGGGGTTCAAATCCTGCCTCCTTTCCCTCCCTGCTGATGACTTTGGACCAGTCATTCAGCTCCCACTGCCCCAGGGGTAATGCCACTTAGCACATGAGGCTGTTTGAGGAATCGGTGAGATAACATATGTCAGCCTGGCACATACTAGGTGCTCAGCATGTTAGTTCGTCCCCTTTCCTCTTGGTGGTAAGATATGTGGTTCTGGAGAAATCATCACCCCTTTGAGCCTCTTTAGGGAAAAAAAATCTGCCACTGCTGTCAATAACAGCATCATCACCAGAAGCAAAGAGCTGAGTTGGACTCGAACAGCAGAAATGCTGGCTGACGCTTACATGGGGCTTACTGTGTGCCAGGCATCGATCAGCTGACTTTGTGCATGTTATCTTCGTTAGTTCTTACTACAACCCTGTGAGACAGACGCCACTGTAATTGCCATTTTACAGATGAGAAAGCTGAGGCACAGAGAGGTGAAACCCCTTGCCTGAGGTCACACAGCCAGTTAGTAACAGAGCCACGATTTGAAACCAGACCGTCTGGCTCCGGAGTCTGTCTTAGAACGCTCACGCTATGAGTAGGTGATCGTAAAAATTTTGAATTACACAAGGGAATACATAAATACACTTTAAAATAAAAATCCAGGGGGTGCCTGGCTGGTTCATTTGGTGGAGCATGCGGCTCTTGATCTTGGGGTCGTGCGCTCAAGCCCCACGTTGGGTATAGAGCCTACTTAAAAAAAAAAAATCCAGCCATAGAGATAAAGTGAAAGATCCTCCCAAATCCCACCCAGTCACCTTCCGTTCCCAGGGACACTCTTATCGATTTAGGATATGTCTTTCTACTCCTGTATCTTTGTGTTTCCATGTTTGTTTATGCACCCAAAGAGACTTAGTGCTTTGTTTTGTGTATTTTTTAAAATTTTTATTTAAAAATTTTTTAAAAAGATTATTTATTTGAGAGAGAGAGAGAGAGACCACAAGTGGGGGAGAGGGAGAAGCAGGCTTTCCGCCGAGCAGGGAGCCTGAAGCGGGGCTCGATCCCAGGACCCTGGGATCATGCATGACCCGAGCTGAAGGCAGCCGCTTAATTGACTGAGCCACCCAGGCGCCCCTGTCTTCTGTATTTTTTAAGCAAATGGAGTCCTGTTGTACCTATTATTTTGCAACTTGCCATTACCACTTAATATTGATGTTATGTCTTGGAGATCTTGTCATTTGACCAATTATATTCTTTTAACATCTATGTTGTCAACTACAGTGGGAAGGTACTATGGTTTATTTAACTGCCATCCTTCCATGCACATGTAGGCTGTTTCCAGTTTTTTCCAGGAATAGTGTTGCAATACACATGTCCATGTATGCCGAGTGTGCAGACGTGCTCGGGTATTTATTGCACAGGGGAACCTGTACGTGGGACTGCCTCCTGGAGGGGCAATGCCAGCCTGTCGTCCAGGCAGCTGCCCTCGGTGTCATTAAGGGGCATGCGGACAACAGCACATGGCCGTGAGGGCAGAGAGAAGTGGGCAGGTGCAGCGGGCATCAGCTGGGCTCAGGGTGAGGCCAGTGGCTGTCACAGGCCTCTGCTCCATGAGGGCCTCTGGTGACAGTGCTGAGGGTCTCTGTAACCCCCCACATGCAGAAGTGCAATTTCTGGAGCTAGAAATGGCTTTCAATCCCTGACTCAACCTTTATCTGCTGTGTGACTGTGGGCAACTTCTTTTGCCTCTCTGAGCCTCATCGGCAAAATGGGGATAATAATACCTACCTCAGGTCAAGACTGAATGGCACGATGGGTATCAGATGCTGACACATAGTAAACGCTCCCTAAATGTGGATGATGGTGCTGATTGGGGGTGACTTGGAGTGCTTTGCTTTGAGGCCTTGTACTGGGACACTGTGACCTGGGGAAGGTCCCCTATCGTCTCTGAGCCTTGGTTTCCTTCTCTCTTCCCTTTTGCCTGTGTTCTTGGGTCAACTCTTTGGGGAGAAGAAGAGAAAAAAAAAACAACCCAGGGTTTTCCCAGGAAGATTCCTAGAGAGGGAATCTGAGGCCATCTTTAATTCCTTCTCTGGAGCCCCCTTCCCAGTAATTGCCTCCCACCCAGATATCTCTCCAGTGTCTCAGTTCCCCAGTGCCCTAGAGCTCTGACAAGATCGGGGCTGTCTCTTGCCCCGCCCAGGTTGCCAGAAGTCAGGGAGGGTACCTGTGTGAGTAGCTCCTCTGGAGATGGTGGCTCCCTCCTTCCCTATTATCTATCCCCATCGATGGCAGCAATTTGAAGGGATGGCAGATCTTTGGGGGTAAGCAGGAACCTCTCCTCCAGGCTGACCGCAGTGGGGCCACAGAAGCCATATAGAGTCTACCCTGGAAGGGAGAAAAGGAGATGATGAAAGAGAAAAGCAGAGCCTTTTCCCCCTCCCTTGCTGTAGCATGGTGAGTCAGAGCATTTGTCCTGACATCTGTGCTGCTTCGGGGAGCCTGAGCTGCTGGCAGAAGGACAGGCTCCTGAGGGTGCTCAAAATTACCCCAACCTCCAACACACCACTGAACCGACCTCAGGGCTACCACGTATGTAGCACTTAACTCTGTATCGGGCACTCTGCATGCATTTATTATCCACAGCCTCGCAATGACTCCACAAGCTGAGTATTGTTTTTCCCATTTTACAGATGTGGAAACAGAGACTGTCTCAAGATCACAGAGCGAGTAAGTGGTAGAGGCCAGATTACTTGTCTTACAATCTAGCTCTTGCCTCCGCACAATGCTGCCCCCCCCACACAGAGGGGAGAAATCAAGATCTTCTCTTAGGCTGCTCTTTGTGAATTTGTCCTTGGTATTCATATAACCAGATTTCACATGGATAAACATACTGAGGGGTGGGAGTTACGGTGTGCTTCATCTCCCCCCTCCTGCCCACCGCCATTCTGGACTCCTTGATGCTATGGAAAGATAGCATAGACCTGGGGTTTCAGCACCATGGACAGGACACCAAGTCTGGATACCCTGCCCCTGCGCCTGAGAGCGGGGTGGGGTTTTGGCTTGGGTGCTCCGGGGGACTGACACATCTTCTTGGCTTTGCCTCCACCGCCCCCTTTCCATCTGCGAGGGTTGCCTGGGAATCAGGTTCCCTTCCTGCCTCCTTCTGACTCTTCCAATTACCCTATACTCAACCCACCTCTGGCTCCCTGGAGAGCTAAGCTTGGGCTCTCTTGCAGTTTAGGAAATGTTGGAGGAGGGGCACCTGGCTAGCTCAGTCGGAGGAGCTTGCAACTCTTGATCTCAGGGCTGTGAGTTTGAGCCCCACGTTGGGTGCAGACATTACTTAAAAATCTTAAAAAAAAAAGAAACGTTGGAGGAATCCTTTGCTCCCAAAGGCCAGGCATGTTCCCAGGCTGCACACACGACCTTTACACAGTTCAGTGAACTGTGCACACCTTGGCATACTGGTATTTACTTAAATTATAAATGTAAGTTGGTCCCACTTTGTGTAAAACTGATGTATGAAAATCCAAATTGATTACAACACGCTCTTTAGAGGGGGGCTTCATGTCCCAGCTTTCGTGGGATTTGGGGGTTTCATGGCCGGGCCTCAAGGTGGTCTCTGAACCCGCTGGAAATGTGGGATGTTTTATCCTTCTCTGTGTGTGCATGTGTAACAATTTATACGCTTTTTGTGTTCTGGGGAAGGGTTTTGTAGATTGCATCGGATTCTCAATGAGCTCAGGAGCTTGAAAAAGTTAAGGAAACAGCTGGGCTAAAGGATCGGCCAGTTCAGAGCTTTCTAATGTTTTGGGACTGCTGATCACTAGTTTGCAAAGTCAAATTCTAACCTCCTCATGCCTGCGTCCCCTTCGAGGCTGCTGTGGGGCCGCTTCTTTCTCCTTCTTTTATTCCCCACACTCCAGCTCTTGAGGTCAATGTTTGGGAATGAAGATGTCTGTCAGTCCACAGTGTAATTTGAGTTGTAAAATGCCGAGGTCACGAGCACCCCTACTAGTCTAAAATTGATTTCACTGCAAACATGTACTCTGTGCACATGTTTTCAGAAAAGGACTATTTTGTGCAGCATGAGGGTAATGGTGCAGGCAAAATCATTCCTCCCAAATATGAGGAGAATCTGTCTATGAGGAGATTGTCATGCCTTGGGTGGCAGCAAGACCTCTTTTGTCAAATACTGTTGAATTGCAACTAATTCTTGTAGGGCCAGAGGCTTTGTATGGTGCTGGGGCTCGCGGTCACGTGTGTTGACTTGTGCTGAGTGTTGTCTTTTGCGAGGTGGGTAGGGGGGTCTCCTGAACTGTCTGACAGTGTTGGTCTGTCTCACTGCCCTTCTTAGAGTGCCTTGTGTCAGGGTCAGGGCTCAGGGCAGGGCCAGGATCAGGGCTCAGTCTATTGCTGAGCTCAGGCCACAGTGTGGGGCTAAGGCTGGGCTCAGTCGGTCCAGGGTTGAGGCTCCGTTTGAGACCTTGGTTATGAATTTCTGTAGTAACTATCCGGGCTCAGTCTGGGACCATGAGCAGGGCTTGGTTTCTTGCTGATGTCAGGGCTTGGTCTAGAGCCAGGATCAAGGTTTGCTCTGGAGTCAAGGTCAGGTCTGCTGTTGGGGAATCTAGCACTACAGTTGGGGCTTAGTCAAGGATCAGGAGGGCTCAGTTTATTGCTGGTACTAAGGCTCAGTCTAGAATTAGGATTGAGGCTTAGTCTGTGGCTGGGAGCAGGGTCAGACTGGGGCTCTTTCGCAGGTGACTTATGTATGTGGCCTTCCTTCCACAGGTACCCAGGACCCCACGCCCAGGGATGGAGTCAGCTGATAGCAGGCGTCTGGCCACCAAGCACAGCAGGAAGGCCTTGAAGGCCAGTCTGACACTGGGCATCCTGCTGGGCATGTTCTTTGTGACCTGGCTGCCCTTCTTTGTGGCCAACATAGCCCAGGTAATGCCACCGCAGAGGGGGGTGAGTCCAGGCCTCGCTGGGGAGGCCCCGAACTCCACCCCAGCCCAGTCATGGGGATAGAGGAGGGCGGGCTGCCTCTCATGGCATCTGTGTTTGTGGGTCCCTGTCCCATCCATGCTGGCCGGGGTGGTCTGTGACCCTGCCCCGGGACGGAGCATGACGTACCCCATCTCTCCAGGCTGTGTGCGACTGCATCTCCCCAGACCTCTTCGATGTCCTCACGTGGCTGGGTTACTGCAACAGCACCATGAACCCCATCATCTACCCACTCTTCATGCGGGACTTCAAGCGGGCCCTGGGCAGGTTCCTGCCGTGTCCCCAGTGCCCTGGGGAGCGCCAGGCCAGCCTCGCCTCACCCTCTATGCGAACCTCTCACAGCGGTCCCCGGCCCGGCCTGAGCCTGCAGCACGTTCTATCGCTGCCTCTGCCACCTGACTCCAGTTCTGACTCAGGCTCAGGTTCCGGCGGCTCCTCGGGCCTGCAGCACACGGCCCAGCCCCTGCTGCCTAGAGAGGCCCCCCGGGAGCCCCCGCCCCCTGCCAGGGCTGCCGTGGTGGTCAGTTTCTTCAACATTGATCCTGTGGAGCCCCAGCTGCAGCTGCATCCCCTTGGTGCTCCCACGAACTGACCCGGGCTTGGAGCCGGTCGGGGGGAGCTGGACTGGATAGAACCAAGTCCCCAAGGCCTTGGACCAGCTCTTGGCCAAGGCTGGCAGGCTGCAGGTGTCCTGGGGGCCCTCGGAGTGTCAGTGGGGTGCACTGAGCCAGGCCCCACTGCCCCCCCCGGGGGGGGACAGCTGGCTCAGATATGGTTTTCTCCAGGACGCCCCACTGCTGAGTGCAACCTGTGGTTGTGTGTGGAGGTGGCTGGAGGACTCTGGCAAAGGGGAAAAGGACTTCTGGGTTCAGGTTAGGGTGAAGACAATCATCTTTGACATTTGATGAGACTGCAGGGGAGGGATGCCTCTGTCTGCAGAGGTGGATGAGTGCTGGGCTGAGTCCCTCATTCCTCAAAGGGTAGTCCTCAGGCCACCAGCATTCGTGGCACCTCCCTGGAGTTTGTTAAAAATGCACACCCCTACCCACCCCCCCACCCAAGACCTGCTGAGTCAGACTCTGCACGCTCGCAGGAGCCCCAGGTGAACTGTGCACACCATACAGTTTGAGCCACGCTGGCTTGGATGATCTTTAACCATGAGAATGATTTGTTTTCAGTCTGGACAGTGCCTCGGGATGTGTGTGGGGCTGCGCAGAAAAACACCTGGCCCGGGAGTCAGGAAGGCAGAAATCCGAATCTCCGCTCCACTACTCACTAGCTCTTGCATACGTCTCTTAACCTTTCTGAGCCTGGTATTCCATATACAAAGTGGGGTAACAATGCCTGCTTCCTAGGGTGTCAGGAGAATCAGGAGAGCATGTGTAGAGTACCCAGTACCTACAGGTGGTCCTGCTGTAGGTGGTACCAGGTGTTGCCACAACTCCTGGGCATCCAGCCCCCTTGGCCTCTCGCTGTGGGCCAGGAAGGGCTGTTTGTTCCCACTGTTTCTCCCATCTCCCTCCTCCTCTTCAGCACTGGTCCTGATCCCACCACCCGACTGACCATGGCTCCCCACCTTTTTGCTCTGGATGCCGGGTGGGGCTCCCATCCCCGCTCCCGGGCTGCTGCACCGCCTCTCCTCAGGGGGCAAAGCGGGAGCTGGTGGTGTCTTGCTCAACACCAGGAATAGGTCTCCCTCCAGCCTGGACTTCCTGGGACCCGGAAGGGAACTAACTGATGGGGATAGACCGGCCCACGGCCCCACCTCCTCCTGGCATTGCCTGGGTCAGCCAGGGCAACAGGAGTGTCGGCCACTCAGGTCTGCAGAGCAGAGTGCAAGAGCCTGGTGTGGGTTGCTGCCCTCAGGCGGGTCGGTGGACCCTGGCACAGGGACCTGGGTTGTTTTTGAGGGGGACTCTTGGTTCCCACAGTTTACTTGCCATAAGGTCCTTTTCAGTCTGAGGCCCCCCAGATCCATCCAAACTCCCAGGGAGCCCTCCACTAGTGGCCTGGGGCTCTCCTTGGTGCTGATTAGATTCAACTCTGGCCCCGGTCACTGGCCACAGAGGGGTCATGGTGCTTGCTGGGGCTTCCCCTCTGCCCCCAGGCCTGCCCGAGTGGACTCCCAATAAACACTAGCTGAGGCAATGACCGTGGTGTGGACTGGATTTGCTTGAGGGGTCCCTGGGGTTGGAGAAGCAGCTGGTGGGAGTGGGATGAGACCCTGGGCAACATGAGCTGTGTGGACTCACAGTAGCAGTTCTGTAAATATTTGTTGAACGAACAAACAAACACACACACGTGGGGACCCATTCAGCTCTTAATAGTCTAGGTCCTTCTGCTGTCCTCCTCCGGGCTGCCTCCCCCCAAGGGCTTGTCAATACTTTCTCTGCCTGGGCCTCGGTTTCCCCATCTGCACAATGTAGAACCATCTCTGGCCCCTCATTCAGGGACAATGGAAGGAACACAGGAGGAGGCTTCCGTGGAGACAGATACAGTAGCCGAGAACTCGGGCTCTGGAGTCTGACTGGAGTTTGAGACTGACCAGCTGTGTGACCTTGAGCAGGTTACCTAACCTCTCTGGGTCTCAAGAACCTTCAGTAACATGCAGATAATAATAGTAGCTACCTCATGGGGTTATCGGTAGGGTCAGCTGAGACAACCCATGGAAGCACTCTGTCCTTGCTAAATTCTCAATGAGTGGTACCTATTATTATTTTTATTATAATCATTATCCCCCTTCCTGCTATGGGAAATCCTTCCCCCGTGTAATTCATTCCTGTCACTGGGCCCACTTCCCACCCATAGTGCATGCTGATTCAGCATATATTCATCACGCTGTGAGCTGCATCCAGAGCACCACGTAGCACAACTGGGGGGACCCTTCACATCACATCCGTGCGATCCATGCTCCTAGGGTTCTGCAGTGCACAGCCTGCATGACCGTACAGGCACATCTGGCCGCACCTCCCCAGAGCAGAGAGTCAGCTGCGGACTCCCCACCTGCGTCTGCTCTGTAGGAGCATCAGTGGTGTCTGTGGGCTGGCGGGCAGCCCTGGTGTGTGGATGGAAGAGCAGGCACCCACCTGGGTTTACTGGGGCCGGGGAAGCCCCCTGGGCCCCCAGATGGCCAGCCAGCCCCCACAGCTGCGGCCTGAAATACAGGAAGCCCAAGGCTGGTAGAGTCCTGGGGCTCTAAACTGTGGTTGGTCGTCTCTGCAGGGTTCCGGCCTTGCTTCCTCGGGGAGGGAACGCTGTCTCTCTTCGACTCCCCTCCTTCCAATTCCTTTTCAGTCCCAGTGCCTTAAACTTGGGAGAGGCACTGGTGGAAATTCAGAGCTCACGTGGGGCAGCTGGTGCAGGGGTAAGGGAGTGCTACATGGAGGAACCTGGGAAGGCAGCTCGAGTCCCCTTCTGTGGTCAGTCCAGCCCTGGGCAGGGCCCCTGGGTCTCGCTGGCACAGTCGAGGCAGCCCAGTGGATTGGGGCCCATGCCGTGGCTGCAGATCTGGGGGCTCTCAGCCGGGCTGGCAGTGGCAGGAAGGGAGGCGCCTTCAGACTGGTCCAGCCCCGTTGGCACCTGGGCTCGGCTAGGGTCAGCGGGTGTGGCCCCTTTGGGGTTGTCCCCGGGTGTGGTCTTGTCTGATGAGGAGGTGGTTGCTGCCTGGGGAGGCTCCTCTTGGGGCAGACTGCCCGGGGCCAGCAGGAGCCCCTTTTCATCCCAGCCTGGCTTGGTGTGGATGCCCACAGTCTTCAGGATGATGTCCATCTGCTTGGCGTAGTCCAAGTGGCCGCTGACCTGCAGGAGGGCAGTGAGTGAGGGCCAGGGGGATGGGGGCGGTCAGAGCCCTGCCCTCCCCAGGGCCCCCAGCGGAGCTCTTGGGCCTCACCCTCTCCCTCCGCAGCCTCAGCCACCTGATCCCCAACGCCAGGACTCCAGCTCTCAGTGACCTCAAATCCAGAGTGGGCTGGGAAGCCTCTGGGCCCACGGCCACTCTCACATTTATTAAACAAAGATGAAGGATGTTTCTTTATAAAATTCCTTTGGGGGCAGGAATCGTCACTAAGACAAAGGTTGAGAACTCAGAAGAAGGGCCCACCTTCTTTCTCAGAGAATAGAGATAACCCCACTTTTGTGTTGGGATGTGTCAGTGAGTGAAAAGTAGGGGTGACTGAGAACACCCGATACCTCACGGTGATCACGGACAATGCCCAACACGTAGTATATCCTTAATACACTGTGGATGAACTTACTGGATACAGTCCTTTGACAGGTGTTGGCTCCTACCTGTAGATGAAGGAATTGAGCCAAGGAGAGCTAAGGTGACTTGACCAAGGTCATACAGCTAGGAAGTATCAGAGTTGGATTTTGAATCTGGGCCTGTTCTCTTCATAGAAAATGAGTTGGGGAGGGGAACTTTGAAAATCATTGCCATTTTACCAAACAGGAAAGCAATGTTCATAGAAGGATGGTGGTTTGCTTAATACACATGACACGTGAAGAGCAAAGCCGCATGGGGCTCGGCGTGAGATGCTGCATGTGCAGTCTGCTCAGCTCAGATCTGCTCCTGAAATGCAGCCGTGCGCTAGCCTCCCCCCCCGCCCCCCCGCCCCCTACACCCAGTCCTCGGGGTCTGCTTGGTGCCAGAGGTAAGTGCAAGACAAAACATTCCTTTTTGTTTAGAAAGAAGACTGGGGGGCGGGGCGGGACACTGGGGGCACTTAGGGAAGCACACAAAGGCTCAGTTGATAACATTTGCATTTCCATTTGAATCACAAATCACGCTGAGCTATTCAAATGAGTTTTCAAGAACACAAGAAGACAATTCCCGGTAAGGTTTTGTTACTTTCTCATAACCAGAACCTGCTGACTTCTCCTTCCTTCCTTTTTTTTTTTTTTTTTAAAGATTTTATTTATTTATTTGAGAGAGAGGGAGAGAGAGAGACAGCACAAGCAGGAGAGGCAGAGGAAGGGGGAGCGAGAGAATCCCAAGCAGACTCCATGCCGAGCGCAGGGCCTGACACGGGGCTCGATCCCACGACCCTGAGATCATGACCTGAGCCGAAACCAAGAGTCGGACGTTCAACGGACTGCGCCACCCAGGCGCCCCTCATTCCTTTCTTTACAAATGCTTTTATTTTTATTTATTTATTTTTTAAAGATTTTATTTATTTGGCAGAGAGAGACACAGCGAGAGAGAGCACAAGCAGGGGGAGTGGGAGAGGGAGAAGCAGGCTTCCCGCGGAGCAGGGAGCCCGATGTGGGGCTCGATCCCACGACCCTGAGATCATGACCTGAGCCGAAAGAAAGAGTCGGACGTTCAACGGACTGCGCCACCTAGGCGCCCCGTACAAATGCTTTTAAACAATGTTCAGTGAACACACACACAAGTATACACGCATACAAGGGGCTTTTTAGATCCCTGGGTTCAGGGTGGAGGTCAAGGTGGGGCAGTGTCTTCCCACAGAGGGTGGACATTACTGGCTGCAAGGCACTGGAAAGAACCTAAGTTTGGCATCAGCGAAACAGGGGTTCCAGCCTCAGCTTTCTCCTACTAGTAACTGGGGGAGTCCTTACAGTGTCCTGAACTCCAGCTTCTCCATCTGTAAAATGAGGATCATGACACCTACCTTGAAATTCTACTACGAGAGTTCAAGGGCCGGGCACTTTGTAGGAATCAGCATACGTGACCTCTAACTATTATGTTCCATATATGGCCCAAAACACTTTCATAGGGACATTACCCAATTACAGTTAGTGATACCTACCTCGTGGGGTGGGTGGGAAGAAATAATACATACAAACCATGAGGTACTACACCTGGCACATGGCCAGTGCTGCATAAATATGAGCTCCCCTGCCTTAGTGTCCTTGGAAGGGGTGATGGGGGACAGAGGGCAGGGCCTTAATGGGGCTGATCCATTTGGGAACCCCAAATGGCTGCTGAAGCTCTAGCCATCACATCTCAATTCCAGCCAGCAGAAACCTAGACCCACAGGGACAAACCAGAACTGTTGAAGGGCTGGTGCTGGGCTGGGTGGAGGCAGACAGGAAGGAAGGGAGGTGCTCGTGGCCACTGGCTGTAGCTGATTCCAGGGGGAAATCCCACCATGCAGCTCTCCTAGAACGCACAGCTCTGGCCTCCCTTGGCTCCACGTTGGCTCGGGTCTCAGCCAACCCTAGTCTCTGAGCTGCCACTCTGCAAAGACCCAGGGGGACCACTTGCTGGCAGAATTCCAATTTTACCAACTTTAGCCAAAGGGATGGGAGAGCCGAGGTGAGGGGGGTGGGAGAAGAATCTCTTCTTGGTGGCGGGAAGGTCCGCTGTGGCTGATGCAGGACCATCTCCCCAGCTGTCTGGATGGAAATGGGCCACCCATCCGGATTCACACTGGGGGTCACTGGTGCTGAGAAGCCCTCCCTGACCTTCCCACGCTGGCTGGGGGACGGTCCCTGGGGCTCCCCTGTGACGGTGTTCGCTGCACCCCATCGTCTTTATCTGCTCACACGTTTGTTCTGGGATGGACTGTGAGCCTAGAGAGTGCACGGGCCACTAGTGACTCACTCGGGGCCCACGGCTGGCCCCGTGCAGCGGCCCCTGATCCACACAGTGTGGACGGGCCTCGCAAGGCACCGCGGGACGTGCCCAAACAGGGGCCGCTGTCCCTGCCTCCGCCTGCCACCAACGCCTTCCAAGCCTATCAGGCCCCCTCGGGTTCCTTTCCCTCCTGGGCCTCCGTGTCCTCATCTGTAAAACGGGGCCGGTGAGGGCACCTGCCCTGTGCGCGCGGGTGTGAGGAGCCAGGGAGCTGACACACGGGGCAGAGTCACGGACACGTGAGCGCAGTGGCCTCGAGCCCAGGCTCTGGTAGGTTCCCGGGGCTCCACCCCTCACAGGCAGCCTCAGCTTGCACACCTGTATGGCGGGGCCGCTGTCCCCCCCTCACCGGGATGCTGTGCGGACTGATGACACACGATCTCTAATGCGAGCCCGCACACGCGGGCTTTGTTAGCCTGAGCTCCTGCCCCGCGCCCTGGGCTAAGTTCTAGAAGTCAGCTGGCATTTCCTCTGGGACATGAGGAGTCCGGAGACCCCTGTGCTGGCTCTCGTGCCCTCCAGAAACCTCACGAGTCGGCCCCTCGGGTGGCGGCATCCCCCACCCGCTGCACCCCTGGCCCCACACAGGAGAGGCCGAAAGGCAGGGCTGGTGCTGGGCTGGGTGGAGGCCCCTGCCCGCGCCGGGGCCGGCCGCTCACTCCCTGCCGGCTCAGGCTATTCCGAGGCCAGGAGCCACCGCACACCACGTCCGGGTCGGTGGCCGACGCGGGGCTGGTTCACGAAGGCTCTGCGGGCGTCGGCCCAGCAGGGAGAAGGCAGACCGTGTAGGCCTCGCTCTGAGCACCGGGCAGCCAGCGCGGCCCCCCAAGCAGTAACAGCGACTCTCTCCAGCAAGAATCCTCCAGAAAAACCAGAGGGCAGCACAAAGGCAATGCTAATTACCTCCAATTACCCCGAAGAGAGAGCCACTGCTTCTTGTGCTGTGCCCCTAATGTGTCATAAGGAGCTACGATCAGGTAAGAGCCACGAAGCCGCCTCAACGACGGTCCGAGGAGGGAGAGGGGTCTCAGGGGCAAAAGAGCCAAAGCGGGTAGCAGGGTCAGGAGAGGAGGGACCTAGCACTGAAATGAAGGCCTCGTATGGGCCGAGCATCTTACACGTGCTGCCCTGGAAAGTGATTCCCCCCATTTCATAGATGAGAAAACTGAGGCACAGAGAGGTTAAGTCACCGGCCTGAGGTCACACAGCCAACACGCCAGCGGCACAGCCTGGCCTCTCTGGGGCCAAAGGCTGCGCTCTTGCCACTGTATCCCCCTCAGGGGCTTCCCAGGGCAGAAGGTGGGTCTTGCCAGGGTTCTGTGGTGTTTAAAGGGAATTTCATTTACAAGGGTTTCTTCTGATCCTTTTTACTTTTGATTCAATAGGACAGTGGCCCCGGGACACAGGTCAGGAGGCCTCGCTCTGGTCCTGTGGTGTCGCGGTCTGGTCAGTCAGCTCACCTCACCCCACAGGGAGGTGGACGGCGCAGCCCTGGGCCTGGTGGCACAGTGTTCTGGGGGCGGGGTCCAGGTGCCCGGCTCCACCCACCATCAAGGTGCGGGGGCTGGGGAGGGGGTCACTGGCACGGGCTGCTTAGAAGCCATGGGGGAAGCCCGAGTCCTCCAGAGTGCCCTTCCCTCGGGAGGGTCTGGTCTGTCTGCTCTCAGGCGGGGTGGTGCCTTATGGAACCTGGGCGAACAGGGATACGCTGGGAAGTGCTTGGCACTTGACCACTGGCAGCCAACCATGCAGTAACTGGAAACCGGGGTTCTTGCTCTCATGGGCCCCTTGCATCGCAAGGATCTGCACTGGCCCGAGCCTGCCTGGGGACGTAACTGCAGCTTAGCGCCCTCACCCTCCGGGTAGCGGGCACCTCTCCCAGTGCTGGCCATATCTCCCTGAGCAGGAGCAATGCCTACTGGCCTCAGACCTGGGTTTGAGGCCTGCTCGGCCATGTTCTCACTGTGTGACCCTGGGCAAGTCCCTTAGCCTCTCCGAGCCTCAGTGTTCTCATCTGTACAATGGGGACGCTGGAGCCTGCAAAGGCTTGGGGCAGAGCTAGATATGGAGACTGTCCCACGTGAAGCTCTTAGCTCTCTGTGACAGGCGAGTGCAGGAGGCTGAGGTTCCTTCAAGCCCGAGAGGTGGCCCTAGAACCTCAAGTTCGGTGCGTCCCACCCCATCCCCAGCAAGAATTCTCTTGAACTGGGTGCCTGGGTGGCTCAGTGGTTGGGTGGATACCTTTGGCTGAGGTCATGATCCCGGAGTCCCGGGATCCAGTCCCACATTGGGCTCTCTGCTCAGCGGGGAGTTTGCTTCTCCCTCTGACCCTCTCCCCTCTCCTGCTCTCTCATTCTCTCCTCTCTCAAATAAATAAATAAAATCTTAAAAAAAAAAAAAAAGAATTCTCTTGAACCATCTGTACCCCCCGACCTAAGCTAGTCTTTGATGTCCAGGACTATTGTGGGGGGGATGGGGGGGTCTGTTCAATTGGCAGGCTCTGCTCCCAGAGACTGATCTAAAGGTCTGTGCATGGGGCCCTGGGGTCTGCATTTTATTTATTATTTTTTCCCAGTGTCCTTGGTGGGGGGTGTCTTGCATTTTAAATAAACCCCCAGATGTTTCCAAGGTGGGGGTTCCTGGAACACCTTCCCTGCTCTGCATTCCACCGTGTCACAGCCTGGCCGTCAGGGGCTTCTGTGGTCTGGCCCCAGTCCCTCCACCTGTGTCCTCTGGGGGCTCTCAGTACTTCCAGGGGAACCGGACCGTCCTGATGAGTAACTGGGGGTGGGGAGGGGCAGGGAGGGCACTAATGTAGGGCCCCGAGCAGGGGCTCTGGAGGTGCACATCCGGGCTGCTGATGGCCACTTGTGTGACAGGAACTTTCCTAAGCCTCAGTTTCCTAGTCTGTGGAATGGGCATAATCATGGCTGCCCTGGGGGCTGGGTGAGGATTAGAGACAATGTGTGTGAAGGACGTGGTGACAAAGCCCCAGCACAGAGACGGTGCCTGTAAATAGGAATTACCACCCTTCCCCCCCCCAAGCAAATTCTCATGACCTCCCTCCTCCGGGGTGAAACGGGCCGGTGTCCCTGGGGCCGGGGGTGGCTGGGCTGGAGTCACAAAGCACCCCCGCTGGCAAATGCAGAGCTGGCAATACTCACAACAGATGACAGGTCCACGTTCTCCACCCTCCTGTCCTGCAGCAGCACGGGCTGTAGGCCAGCCACGTGGAGCTGCGCGGAGGACGTGCGGTACACGAAGCTCAGCAGCCAGTCCCCCCTGCGGGCAGACAAGGGGGTGACGTCAGCCCTGGGGGTCCCACCTGGCCCTGGGAAGCCCGGTCGGACCCGTGCACCTGCGGGCAGGATGGTGGAACAGCCCCACTGGTTTCTACCTGGGGCACCAGGCGGATGACAGTAGAAAGGGAGTCAGGGCTGGGGCACTCAGTGTGGGACACCACAGGAGGGTCTGTAGAGGGCCCCAGAAGCTGCCCGTTCTGTCCCTGCTGGGTCCCCAGAGCTGAGAACAGTGCCTGGCATGCAGCAGACCTGGGCGACGTTCTCACGAGTAAGCATGTGGCTTTGGAGGGGTTTCCGGCTCGGGGCTGGGGGGGCGGTGGGTGGCTGCTCTAGGGCTCCATGGGAAGAGAAAGGCAGCAGGCGTCCTCCTGGAGTGAGCGGACTGTGGGGGCTGGGGGCTTCTGTGCTCTGGGGTACGGAACTCAGGGGCCTGGGTTCCTGTCTGGCTGTGAGCTGGGGGGCCCAGCTTGCCCTCTGACTCAGGTCCGGCCCAGCCTGCAGGCCTCCCTGCCCTCAGCCATCTTGGAGGCAGCAAGGCTGGCTGCCCAGGCAGGTCCCGCCCTGGGAACATTCCTTCACTTGCTCGGGTGTGGTGAAGCCCGCTCCCGGCACCCTCATCCCTAGCCAGACACACCCCTACAGTATTGAGGGAAAATAACCCTGGACTCCATGCTACCTGTTTCTTCAGGTACCCTGAGCACTGTCCACGGAGGACATGGTCGGAGGGGCCCACGAGACAGCCTTCCCTCGAACCCTTGACTTCGTCTGGTTGAAACCGGGCCAGCTGAGAGAGCACTTGGCCTCACTGCTCAGCAGGTCTGTGCAAGTGGACACTGCTCATCTCCCCTCTGCAGGGGGGGACTTGCATCCAACTTAGCACATCTGGTTGTGTTTTATTGGGACTGACTCACTCTGGTTTGCATGGCAACGTGAGACCATGGTATTTGCGTGCTCACGTGGAAGAAGGGTCTCTCTCGCAGTGCCGCGTGAACCAAGAAGGGGCTCAGAGTCCGGGGTCCCTGGGCGCTCTCCAGGCCCCCTTGCAGGTGGTCTCTGACCACAAGGGTGCTCCTGTGCTTACCACCCCAGAAACCCCTGGAAGGACCGGGGCACAGAGTTGAGGGGGCCCTCTACAGACCCTCCTGTGGTGTCCCACACTGAGTGCCCCAGCCCTGACTCCCTTTCTACTGTCATCCGCCTGGTGCCCCAGGTAGAAACCAGTGGGGCAACGTCAGGCCCCCTTTCCCCAGTGGCCAACCCACCAGAGTCCTGCTGAGTCTTCTTACCTGCACCCATACTGGTCCCTCTGCCCCAGCCCTGTGATCAAGGCAATCCAGCCTCCACGGACCAACGCAATGGCCTCCTCCCCGCTCTCCCTGCTCCTGGCCTCTCCTCCCGCACGCCACCATGGCTTTCCTGAAACACCCATCTGACCACGGCCCTTCTCTCTTAGAAGCTGACCGTGTCTCCCCACTGCCTGTAGGCTTTCTCTTCTAGAAAATTCCTTTACTCTCTCCAGAGAACAATGCTTGCCAGTCCCAGTGATTATCTTAATAGAGGGGACCCAAGAAGCACTGTCTCTAAGAACAGACGGCCAAGTGGAGAAGAAAGATTCACTCAAGTTGTTCTCTTGCACTAACCATGACTTATGTGCATCAGATACTGGGTATGAGGGTGGTCCATAAACATTTCTATTATAGACAATTATAATGAACCAAGTCGGCATAATCCCTTCCACATTGTTTCTGTCTTCATTATGACAACACTCTACTTAAAATGTTAATTGCTTCTGGCCTGCCATGTTTCTGCTGAAAAAAAAAAAAGTTAATTGCGCTTCCTTGTGTACATTTAGGGATAGAACGGGAACATATGTTAGAAGGTTCCATATCCTCTAAACTGTGCTGAGCAAACCACAGGGTCTTCCCTGGCATTCAAGACCCTTCTTCATCTAGCATCTGTCTCTCTCGCCCGGGGTGGGCCATAATCCCACACACAGGATCACACAGAGCCAGGCTCTGTCCTGCCTTGTCAGTTCCTAGCTGTGTGAGCTTGGGCCAGTTGCTTGGCCCCTCTGGGCCTCAGTCTCCTCACTACATCTTACTGCTCAGGGTGGGCAGGAGCGTATACTAAGATGGCACATCATGGACACGGTGCTCACGCACGTGAATATTCAGGAAACATCTGGTCTGATTATGCCTCCTGCTCTGGGAACCTCTTGCTTGGCCCAGTCTTCCCGTGTCTGGTGGGCTCTTATCCATCCTTTCAAAATTCAGCTTGGGTATCACCTCCCCCAAGGAGTGCCCCTGAGCCCCTCCACCTGATATTATTAATAATTTGCCCCTCATGTGCCTGGAATATATGCTCCTTTGGACATGAGTCCCATGTCCTCCGTGTGTCCATTCTTGAGTCTTTTCCTTTTCTAGGCAGAGAGCTTTTTTTTTTTAAAAGATTTTATCCATTTATTTGACAGAGAGAGCACAAGCAGGGGGAGAGGCAGACTCTCTGCTGAGCAGGGAGCCTGATGTGGGAGTTGATCCCAGGACTCTGGGATCATGACCTGAGCTGAAGGCAGCTGCTTAACTGACTGAGCCACCCAGGCGCCACTATATTATACATTCATAAATGTTTAGTTTTTGGTAGTTTTGGCCTGAACACTCTCCGCCTTCCCTGCCCCCGCCACCATGCTTAAGGAGGTTCAAAGCAAGTAAAACACCTTTGGGGACCCAGACTATGAAATCTTGGTTGGTGCTAGAAACTACAGTTATTGTGGTCTGTGTTCCTTCCTCCTACTCTACCTGCTTTCCTCCTCCTCCTCCTTTCTCTCCCTAGAGAGATGGCTCAGGATCTCACAAAATAATTGAAAACCAAGCTTATTAGCCTCAGGTTTGCAGCAGAACATATGGGTTTAATAAGTGTTTGCTGCTTTCATATTGCACCTATGCAATTTTAATTCTTTCCCTTTGCTGTTTATGAAAAGCACCAAAAAATCATGTGCTATGTGAACGGGCCCCGTTATTATAACTGCTATAGTTTATTGGACACCTACTAAGTGCCCGCCCTTTTCCTAAATAAGGTCATTTAATCTCCCCAGAAGCCCTGTGCAGGAGGGGCTATTATTCAACAAGTAACTGGCTGAGCCAAGATTTTAACTGAGGACCTTTTTTTTTTTTTAAAAAGAGAGTAAGTGCATGAGCTGGGGGGGGGAGGGGGGCGGTTTGGGGGGATGGAGAGGGGCAGAGGGAGAGGGAGAGAGAGAATCCTCAAGCAGACTCCCCACTGAGGGCAGAGCCTGACCTGCGGCTGGACCTCACAAGCCTGAGATCATGACCTGAGCCGAAATCAAGAGTTGGACGCTTAACCGGCTGAGCCACCCAGGCTGAGGCCCCAACTGAGGACCGTTGGACATCAAACCTGCAATGACTCTGTGCATCTGTTTCTGTGTATCTAGTCCAGCAGGATCAGAGAAATCAGAATGTGTGGGATCAGAAAACTGGCACATTAAAAATTTTGGTGGATATGGCCACTTGTTCTCCAAAAACTATTTACTAAATTCAACTGTCACATCAACAGTGTACAGCAGTGCCCCTTTCTCCACATCTTCACCAACACTGAATGTTATTCATATTTCAGATGTTTGATAATCTGGTGGGTGATAAATAGTATCTTACTGATTTTAATTTGCATTTATTTCACTCATGATGAGGTTGGGCATCTTTTAAAAAATTTATTACTGTGGGGTGCCTGGGTGGCTCAGTTGGTTAAGTGTCTGACTCTTGATTTTGGCTGAGGTCATGATCTCGGGGTCATGAGATAGAGCCTGCATCAGCCTCCAAGCTCAGTGGGGAGTCTGCTTGAGATTCTCTCCCTCTCCCTCTCCCTCTGTCTCCCCACCACACTCTCTCTCTAAAATAAATAAATCTTTAAAAAAATTGACTATTTATTCTGTGAGTTTATGTGTAGATATCCTTTGAACATTTTCTTATTAGATTTTTTTATTGATTTGCATGGGCTCTTTATATATTATGGCTCTTTTGTTTCTTCGTTCTTCCTACCATATCCTAATTCTAAGAACTCAGCTGAGAGTATAAGTGAGAGAGCTAAACTGATGGTCAGAACTCCTGTGTCCTGGCTAATGTCCTCTGTCTGTGGCTAAAAGTCATCTTTATCTTGAGCTCTGAACTATACAGCTGTTGCTGTGGGCTAAATCATCAAATGATAAAGACTTTCCAAATCTGTTCCATTTAGTTTTGTGTCCTACTTAGGATGGTTGGGCTTAGATCAAAATTAAATTTAACTGGCCTTAGTTTTCTCATTTGTAAATGGGGATTAAAGTACTAACACCACAAGGTTTGGGGGAGGATTAAAGGAGATCATGATCACAAAGACAGGATGGCAGGTGGTAAGAGTCTAATATTCCTGATATCCTCCCCCTCACATTGCGGCATTGCTGCATTTTTAGTTTTGACTTTTTAATAATTGTCTATTTCCATATGTGTCCTTTCCACTAGACGTGAGTCTCTCTCACCGGGCCCATCTTTGCATTCCCGTGCCCAGCTACGGTCTCGGGCACAGAATGTTGGATGATCCTGCGTCGCCCCCAACCTCAGCTTGGAGCCTCTTTCTCCCTGCAAACCCGAAACATGTTCTTTAGAATTGGGAATCCAGCACTTTGCTCTTTCTCTATGCTTTGCCTTTCCTGTGATCTCCCCTGTCCTCTGGCTTCAGCGGAAGCTGGGGACCCCACTGGCCCTCACTCCAGCTCTGACTTCTCTGAGCTCTAGTGCTGTGTTTCCAGCTGGTTGGGGGAAAGGTCATGTTCATGACCCAGTGGATCAGCTGCTTCCCCGAGTCCTACCTCCTTGTTTTCTAAATTGTTCATATTTTAAGTTGTGTTCATGGAGCCCACAAGTCAGCCAACCTTCTGGTTTTCTAAAGTCCAAACCTGTTCTTCGGATCTGGGCTTAGAATGTCACCTTCTGGTCCATACCCTGCGCTTTGGGTCACGACCATAAAATGCGGGTCCCTTATCTAAAATCCAGGAGGCTGGCTGTGTTTCAGAATTCAGGCCCACATCTGTGTGACTCCAAATCACTGCTCTTCAACACTGTCACCCCATCCTTTGCCTTTGGAGGTTGATGGGCCCAAGCACCTTCTCAGGCGGCCCTCCTGCATTGTCAGTGGTGGGCTTCCTCTTTTCTTCCCCAAAGTCTGGGGCATGGCCTTGGCCAAAGCTCCCAAGTCCCCCTTCTCCAAGCCCAAACAAGGGGTACTTCCTTTCTAGCCTCACAGCCGCCAGCCTTCACAGGCGCCCCCCCATCTTGCCGAGGGGTGCTGCCCGGTGTGGGTCTTGGCTCCTCATTGTCGGCTGACTGTTCTGTTACCCCACCTGAAACAGGGTTCTGGGGGCTCGGCCCACACCCTTGCCCACCCCTTCCTGCACTGCCGAACGGCGCCCCCAGGAGCTCCTTGGCGGCATTCACAGATCCCCGCTGGGGCCCAAGCTTTGGTTTTCAGTCGTCCCACTCACCAAATGCCTTTCCCCTAGATCATGGTGGCCAGCCTGGCCTCTCCTGTCACCCCATAAGCTGGCCTCAGACATGACACAGGGAGCCCCTGTTCTTTCATTCTATGGGGACAGAGGCCCCCCCGGTCAGAACACCTTGCTCCTAACAGGCCAGAGCCCCACTGGTCCTTGGGATCCTCCAGGACAGGGGCCAGGCCTCGAACATCTGCACACTAAACATCTGCACACTAAGTACTCGGTTAGTACTGTCACCCCCAGCGCAAGACTGGGACAGACCTGCAGTAGCCGTTAATGATCCTCCCAGACACCACCTTCCGGAAAGGCTCCCAGTGCTTGGCTTCTCCTTCCACGGGTGCGCCCAGCAGGACGACATCCTCAATGATCCCTTGGCAATCTGGAGAGAGACCCAGAAAAGGCCGTCAGTGTCCCTGGCCACAGCAGGTCCTGGAAGGGACACTCCAACAGTGGGGGAGGAGTTGGATGTCACATGCACACGTGCTCACACACACACACACACACACACCTGCACACACAGTAGTGGGCGCTTCCACACACTGAGTCGCAGGCCAGGGGGCTGATCTCTTCCTGCAAAGCACCATTATCCCTCTTTTATTTTATTTATTTATAAAATATTCTATTTATTTGAGAGTGAGAGCACACAAGCAGGCGGAGTGACAGGCAGAGGGAGAAGAAGCAGGCTCCCCACCAAGCAGGGAGCCTGATGTGGGACTCGATCCCAGGACCCCGGGATCATGACCTGAGCTAAAGGCAGATGCTTAACCGACTGAGTCACCCAGGCGCCCCCATTATCCCTATTTTAGAGTTAAGGTAAACCAGACATCGTCAAGATCACATAGCTTGGAAGTGCCACAGCCTGAGTTGGGACCCAGAACTATTCTCAGCATCCGTGAAGCTCCCAACCAGCCATGGGCTCGGAGGGGACATCTTTAGAAGGGACTGGCGGGCCCCAGGTCATCGTGTTCACCAGGGGTGGGGGGGACATGCCCAGTCCTCCTCGGCAGCAGTTCCCTGGGGCCTGGGCGGTGTGGCGGGAAGGCGGGAGGGAAGGGAAGATGGGGGAGGGTAGGGAAGATGGGGGAGGGTAGGGAAGATGGGGGCGGATGGGTCCCAGGGCAGGGGGTACATCCATCAGCTTCACTGACCAAATGGCTCAGATACATTTTAGGCGGGGTTATTCAAAGTGCGATTCAACAGACTAGGGCTGGCCCCATGGATGTTTGTCCTGTAAACACAGAAAGAGGACAGCATCATTTCTTCTACCTTGGGGCAGACTAGAATGCAACAGTTCGCAGGCGGGCGTGAGCACACCCTGAGAAGTGCCGCTCCTGACCAATGAGAGGGGCGCATGTCCCCCCCCCTTCACTCTCTGTCCCCTCCTCTGCTGTGCTTTTCTTCTTGGCACGTACTGCTTGTTTCTGTCTGTCTAGGTGCAGTGAGGGCGGGTGCTCTTGCTGCCTCCATCCCAGATGTATGGCTGGGTCTAGAACAGTGCATGGCCTGTGCCTGGCGCTCTGTAAAGATGTGAATGAATGAACGAAGAGGAAGTTAAGTGCCATCCCTCAGGGAAGCCAGGATGTGTATTTTGCAAAGTCTTTGTAAAGCCATGGCTTCAAATAACTTCTGGGTATGGGACCTGGGCCGGGTCACTGAACTCTGAGCCCACAAGTGGGTGACACCACTGGCCTTGAGGGTCTTTAGGAAAATTAAGTCACAGCATGGGAAAAACCCAGCACAGGCGATGCACAGGGGAAGTGAGTGTGGCCTCCCCCTGCCCTGAGCCCCCGCCTCTCCCCAAAGGTGGCTCTTTCTTATGCTTCTGAGTGTCTGTATGTCCCAGGAAGCAGCATGCTCAGTGTCACTCCTGGGGAATGTGCCCAAGAGGGACCGCTCTGCCCTGTCTGCCACATTCCCGCCAAGGGCCACAGGCCTGGTGGCTTCCTCTCTCTGGGCTCCAGATTCTAACCAGAGCGCTTCCAACTGTTCTCGGTCTGGGATTCCTGCTCAGCGCTGGTCCAGGCTAACAGGTGTCCGAGCACCCCTGGAGTATCATGTGTCCTTAGGGCTACCCTGTCTCTGATGTTGAAAGAAGCCACGGCACAGAATTCTGATTTCACCCCTTTTGTTTCCAGAGCGATGATAACCTGGCAGAAGGATTTAAAACCTCAGGAAGCTGGCAGTGTGTTCTGAACAGCAAGGATGACTCAGGGGCCCCTTGATAGAAGGGCTATTTCGGGTGCTTCTGTGGCTGGCAAGGCTGTAGAGAATGGGATTTTATCCTAACCTCTGCTCTTGACAGGTGAGGAAACTGGGTCTCAGAGGGGATGGGGCATGTCCAAGGTCATACAGGTAGTGAGAATAAGCAGAACCCAGACTGCTTGGACGGAAGTGGCTGGGTCCTTGGGGTCATGCTCTCTGCTCTTTGAAACAACAACATGAAGCACCGTGATCACATGTGGGTCATCACTGTTCCCAGAGTGCCAAACGGTTGTTGACCTGGGGCCAGTGACTGAGCTCAGCAGCTCTGCTCTGGGGGCTGGCGGCTCAAGGCACCTGCTCAGCCCCGCATCATCTCGCCTTCTCTGGAGGGTGGGGACCCCTTGTGGCCAGCAGTGGTAATGCAGCATTCCTGATGGGCTGCCCTGAGCCAGTGGCTGAAAGAAAGCTGTTAGGAAAAGCCAAAAAAACGTAGTTGCCTATGACCTTGAACTGAGACCGGTAGCTGAACCTCACAAAACAGTCCAGAATGCAGCCAAATCAAGTCAGGGTGGGCAGTGAGCTGGAAACACATTTACCCATCAATGACACCTGGCTGGCCCTTGGTCCTCAGGCCATTTGCCACACTCAGACACGTGCCTTAAAGGGGGTTTGCTGTCTGCGAGGCTGCAAACCCAGAGACAAGCCAGGTGGCAGGCTCTCGGTAATGCACAGGCGTTAGCTGAGGGAAGTCGGCGAGAATTACTTTAGACCCACCCAAGGTAGACTCCTCTATGCCAGGTCATTGCCACCTGCCCGGTCCTGGGAATGGGATGGTCCACGAAGGAAATCTGGGGTCAGGAGAAAGGACGCTGGCTGCTATAGTAGATGCTGGAAAGGAACGAATGTCAAATTTCACTGTTTGGTCCCAAATCTTCCAATACCAGGAGATTTCATCCTTCCAGTTAAAATAGAGAAAACTCTCACTAGGTCCTGCTTTACTGTCAAACAGTGTCCTCACTGCCTTTTTGCTGTAGGGACAATGAATGTTTGCTGAAACAGTTTGGATTTACTCCTATTGCTACTATCAACTTTTCTTCTTGTGAATTCTTTTTTTTTAAGAGAAAGAGCGAGAATGTGTGCATCTGTGGGGGCAGGGGAGGGGCAGAGATAGAGGGAGAGAATCTTAAGCAGAGCCCAACATGGGGCTCGATCTCACGACCCTGAGATCATGACCTGCGCCGAAATCAAGAGTTGGACGCTTAACTGACTGAGCCACTCAGGTGCCCCTCTTCTTGTGAATTTTTAAGGTATGAAGATAGTTCTCTAGCTTTACAAATAGACCTTTGATGTAAAGGGAGGCAGGGATCCAACATGGGTTCAGTCACCTTCAAGTCAGGAGACATGGCCTTTGAGCCTTGGATTTCTCCCACTTAAAAAAAAAAAAAAGGATTTGCTTATTTACTTTAGAGAGAGTGAGCGAGCAAGGGGGGGTTGCGGAGGGAGAGGGG